GATTGGCTTAGTGGAGGTGTCCTTTGTTTGTTCCATGCTGCCACTCATGCCTTGCAGCTGAAGTGCTAGGGGTCTCAATCAAGCTTTTGGGGTTTTTTAACGAAGGATAATATCTGAGTAAAAAAGAAATGAGATATGATCCTAAGATTGTTCCGTAATAGGTTGTCATTTGTCTTGGTTCCCAGGTACCAGTGACTGGCCATAGATAGACTGATACATGTGGGGATGTGCATGGGGATAGATGGATGGACAGATATTTCTTTTGGGTCATGTCGTATGTTTGCTGGGGGGAGGGAAAAGCTGAGGAGCTCAGCAGAAGTGGGGCAGTTCTGTTCTGTGGGGTTGAGCAGGGCAGTGTGAGCTCACATAGCCAGTCTGTGCCCCGCCCCACAGCTCTGTGAGGGCCCCTGTCTGACCTGGGCATACTCCGAGGCAGCTCTGCCATCTGCATTGCAGAATCAATGGCGGCTGCAGCCTGTCGTGGGGAGGGAAGTAGGAGCGGAGGCTACTGCAGGAGCAGCTACTGAGTGCAAACCATGGCCCAGCCCATTTCTTCCTCCTTCCCCCAGGGCTGCTGGAACAATTTCTACAGGGAGGTGCTGAGAGCCACTGAACCAAACTGTAAACCCTGTACATGATGGAAACCACTTCAAGCCAGGGGGTGCTGCAGCACCCCCCACAGCCCTAGTTCCAGCACCTATGCCTCCTGCCCTCCTGCAAACCATGGCCCAGCCCCTCTCTTCTTCCTCCTCCCCTGCAAACCAGGGCCTGGCCCCTCTCTTCCTCCTCCCCCCCACCCCCCAATTTCCACCCCTCTCTCTTGTTTCTGTGTTTCCCTGCAGGTGCTGGCTAGTGCTGCGTGGCTTGCAGGAGCGGTGGTTTAAGGTACAACTGATACCCTGGGGCCCATCACACCCTTGGGGGCAGCGGTGCTGGGATTGCTGGGAGTAGCCAGTGTCAGGGGCTGGATCTCGCAGGGGAACGATTTGAAGGGACTCTGGGACTGGGGTGCAATGACTGGTACCCTGCAAGGCCAAGTTAGGGCTGACATTGCCCAGAGGACAGTGCGTGAGGGAGGGAGCTGACACCCAGCTACCACAGGGAACGCCCTTGGCAGGGCAACTCACAGTCCTGAGCACAGTCCAAGAACTTCACCTCCCCAGAACAATGGGATGGATCTCCTGCTCCTCCCCCGTCCTTTCTCCCTCACGCAACACCTGGCCTGGAAAGGGGCCATGGGAACCTCACTGCACCTGCCCCCTTCTAGGCCTGGGAGAGGGCGGTGAAGAACTCCTGCAGCTCCAGAAGGAGCAGAGATGGGACTGAGGGGCAGAATTGCTGTGGGGTTTGGGACGGTACGTAATTCATTGCTGGGCTGGCAAAGGGGCAGATGTGAGGCTGGGGGTAGAGCTGGG